ATCTTTTCCCAACTCGATCGAGTCGAATATTCCCTCGGGCGGAGAAATGCACATCTTGCAATGTTAATGATGAAGTCCGCTTAGTAAGCTTTTTTTAAAATCGCTGCAAGTTGTACTTGCTGAGTTGCTCGATTTACCGTGTTTCTTGTCTCTTTTTTTATGTTTTTTTGTTTTGTTGATTGTCTGTTTGTGTTTTGAAAGTGTGTAACCAAATATATCTTGAAAACCAGAGTAGATCTTGTCGAGATAAATCGTAAGTTGCGCTGTGAAATATAGGCACATGTATCACTTAGTCACTGACCTTTGTTTGCCAATATTTGCTTGTAAATGAAATGAACGCTACTTTAACAGCTGAAAAGGAATTTGATTCCCAAGAATACGGATAGGTTTGATGAAGCTTTCAAAGAGTTGATAGCGATCAGAAGCTTGGATAGGTGTCAGGCGGTGTGCGGCCTACGGCCGCGGTGCAAGCTGGATGCTCGAGCTCATCTCCATTTGACCTCCGCACGAGAGCGGTTGGCATGGATTCTTGGTATTTATGTTGATACAAGTATCACAATTTTTTTGGTGTACTTAAAAGAGGTGAAACTTTCATTTGCCGCTTTAAACGAAAAACGGCTGCTGTAGAGCTCTTTTGTTGGCTACACAAGTTAATTTGACAAGAAGTATTTAGCGAACTGAAGCTAGTCGATCCGAAGGGTACAATTTAGCGACTGAATGCAAATTAGTTTAACCAATTAAACCACGTTAAGGCGCTTCTTTACCCCGTTTTGTTACATTTTTTCGGTTTTAAATTGCCATTAATGTGTGATCCTTCCCAATACAGGCCCACATTTCGACGTCACTTTCCGCTAGTTCGTTGATTTGTTTGTTTGTTTGTTTGTTTGTTTGTTTGTTTTGCGGTAATCCCAGCGCTGCCAAAATACCTTCTTTTGCTCATCGCTTACAATTCTTAGTCAAATCTGTCACTAACAGTTTCTCCAATACTGTAGGGTTGTGTTAACGGACTTCGCGTGAGAAAACACTCATAACAGCATATAACTTCGCAAAGCGAAAAACCGTCAAATTCAAACGCAGTTTTTGGAGAAATAGCGAGAGATGAGCTGAAGTGTGATCTACTCAATGGTTGTCCTATCGAAGTCGAAGGAAAAAGTACATCGCTGTCGTGGGCTGCACACCACCTGGATATCTATAAATGTTTAGCGTGGTAGGAAGGTGAAAAACAGTTTTACAAGGTTCTTAATTAACCGCAACAAATAATTAGTCAATGTTGCGATGAGAAAAAGTACGTAGGATATATGCTTACATTGTACTGGTAGCGACCTTGTTAAAGTTTTAAAGACCCAATGGCACCATCAGGCAAAAAAAAAACAACAACAACAACACCAACTGCAGCAGCGGTGATAAATCCAAATAATGTATATTGTCCGTGAAAATAAGAATACAATATTTACAGGGACATACAAGTAAAGGAAAGGAAGCAGGTTTTCTGTTTTTTGTTTTTGTTTTGGTGATAATTGTCTCTAGACGTACTCCTCTCAAATAATGACATTAAAAAAACTCCCACCCAAAGAAAACTGAGTGTTAATATGGAATAAAACATTGGAAGAAACACAGCTGTTCTTGTTGCGTGCATTTATCCTACGCGCAAAGCCATTTCCCAGGCACGCATCGCTCCTCAGCGTGTACGTACATCTTTATGTTTGTCACTCTTATCCACAACATACCAGTCTATGAATTAGTTAACATTAGTATTCTACAATTTGCTTCCGAGAGACAGGCCTTGCAAACATGATCCTCGTTCTTGTTTAAGTTTGGCTCATTACTTGAGACGTGTCACTCCAACCCTCACTTTCCTCATATGACATCTGCTAAGTTGTATTCGATTATTAATAAAATGTCGTTTCGTATGACAGTTTATTTTTAACTCAGGTTTGCATGCACAATATTCTCTTGGATTTCCTATCACTAATTTCACTACTCCCTCATACGTGGTATAAACAAGTCTCGCAGCTAAACCCTAAGGTTAGTTTATGAATTTTCTATACAAAATGTTTTGAAATTACTTTTCTTTTACATTCTCTTTTCACAAAAATAAATAAATCAGTATATAAAAACTCAACTAAAGATAATAAAAGCTTTCGTAGTGTTGTCACAAAAGAAAACGAAGACTTCAATGCAGTGAATATTAAATTCAGACATCTATCTTGAATTTTTGCTCACCATCTAGTAATCGTTACCATAATTTACAATGATCAGAGCCCATAATAGGGCTAACATGTACATTTCAATCAATTCATCGATATGTACATGAAACAAATAGTCATCATGGGGAAAAACACGTTCATTCAAATTTCAAGTGAAACGACCCTAGTTTTGAGGTGTTCGATCTCTTCATTCAGTTTGTAGACAGCAAGAATGATCTTTAGTATAGGGAAATCTACCAGCTGTATTTATTTGTTTGTAAACGTATATATAATGCATCTGTTCTGTTTTCCAAAAGATTGTCATTAGCATAGCTTTGATCGCTTGTCTGGGATGAAAAGTCTACAGTTTAACGACTAATAACACTACATTTTAATATATTTCTTTATAACAGTTTTTAACAGCTGAGCTGAGGAAAAAAGAAAAAAAAGAACTGAAAAACTTCTGCAACACATCAGTAATTTTGGTCAAGTAGTACAAATTAACCTCTTCATGTTCTCTCACTGGATCGCAAAATTGAATAAAGTCTTGCATTCTGATTGGTTAACGAAGCTAGGTATTTAGAGTATAATTGCGAGTTGAAAACAAGGCTATGTAATGCTGTTTCGCCTCAGGATAAAAAAAAAACAACATTATCGCTGTTTTCAAGGAAAACCCGTTACGTGACAACCGATATTGCACTTGACAACCGATATCGCTCGAATCACTTCTCGGTTCGAGCATTATCAGTTTTCGCGTGAAATATAACGCGGAACTCCGTCGTTAGGTTATGAGTTTTTCTATGGAACTTGAGATGTCATTTTTGTCGCCAGCATTCTCCTGCTGAAAATTTTAAATGTATATTTTAAATGAAACTCGATCGTTGTAAGCTAACTCCTTATTTCCGGAAAAAAAAATATCCATTCTAGCTAGCAATGAACATTTTGAAATTTTCTTTCGATTTGGAAAAAAAAAAATTATGATTCAAATTCCCAACTATGTTGTTATTACTACGGTCGCCAAACGGAGGCGCGCATATGATAAAAAAAGAAAAACAAAAAACAAAACCAAACAAAACAAAACAAAAACTGTAGAGACAAACTTTTTCAGGCCAAAAACAAACATATCTCAATGTGAAATAAAACATCATCGCCATAATATACTGTTCCAGGACCGCAACTTTGAAAGAAAAGCTATTCTGTATGATGTTCTTTTAAAATGTTTTGACAGCTTCAACGAAACGAAGCAGGAAGCGATCTCACTGTTAAATTTCAAAAAAGATTAAAATGCCTTGATGTGAAAGGAACTATGCTTTTGGACTTGCAAATAATAAACTTCAAGAAGTTTCAATTAGTCAGTTCATCATCATATGATTTCTCGACATTTCTATCAACGGGAAGCTAAGGTACATCGTATCCTTCCGTAAGCCAGTTCACTTTATAATTTTGTAATGGTCTTTCAACCCTGCAAGCAATTTCACCGAATCGATCCGCCTGGCACAAAGTTCCAGGCAAGCCAAACAATACCACATTTTGTTAAAATTTCTTCGTAACTTTATGCGGGAGGACATTTTCCTCGTGGATAAGTAGTTTTTTGTCATATTTGTGTACGATGCTTGATACACTGTATCACCCTCAAGATTTGCTGAACTGAATTGAAGCGAACTTCGTCGCTTTTCGCTTTAGATTTTGTCGTCAGTGTTGACGAAGAAGAAAACTTTAAACCTATTNAATTCTCCGCATTAATTATAGTTTATTCTTTTTTTGGAGTGAAATTCCTGGCGCTTATTCAAGCCGAAGGGTGCCAGAGAGAACAGCTGTGCGCTTCAATATGCTTCTTTGGTAATTAGAAGTTTCTCGATGTTACCTGAATTGTGTACTGTTGCCTGCACTTGATCAATGCATTGGAATGAGAAATCGCTTAGATAATGTGGTGTTTTGTTAAAATGTACCGCTACTTCACAGGTCTTTTTCTCAATGACCATAGCAGACTTGTGGTTGCGAAATCTAACCCTAAAGTCATTTGTTGTGGAACCAATGTAATGTAGGCGACATATCTTACACCAAGCCAAATGAATTATGTTCTTAGAATCACAGGAAATTTTCGATCGTATCTTGTAACTTTTGCCTGTTTGAAAACTTAGAAAGGAATTAGATTCAACCAAGAAGTTGCGACAAAGATCGCATCTTGTTCTATCACATTTAAAACATCCCTTGACCTCAGCAACTCCTTCGCTTTCAGTGTTAGGGCCATAACGGGATGGCGCCAACAATTCTTTAAGGTTTTTAGATCTGCGGAAGGATGTTATGATGGAATTTGAGGGAAAAAGCTCTTTAACCCAGATGTTTTTTAATGATGCGACTTACATCAGGTAAATTTGGATTAAATGTGGTCACCAATGGGAATAATTTCCTCTTAGATCTGGCTTGAGTCCTAAGTAGGTACCTTCTCGGTATGGTAGAGGCCTTACGAAACTGGTCGTCCACTAATTTGGAAGAGTAATGTTGATTTGTAGAGTTGACTAAAAGACAAGAGAGAGAGTACTAAGCGGCGAGCAAAGAGCACTAGAATTCTAGAACACAACATGCCATGTTTATTTCACCTCGTGGTCTCTCGTTGCATAAGATAATTTATTCTGACAACCAGATGAGATAGCCAATCAACATCCCTTCTTCTGGGAGAAAGAAAAGAGAGCTTAAAATTTTTGGAGTGTCAGTAAAAACAGTTACAACGTCGACGAAACTATGAGTAAGAGGTACTGTTTATAAGTCAACATGCCTATAATAAAATCATGACCAATTAGAAACCAGTGTCAATTACTTAATTATATAGTCATTAAAACGAATAGGAGGATATATGGATCGTCGTGGTCTATTTACTGCAAGGCTGTTGGGCTGAGCATTTTGGGGGTTGCTTGCATTGTTGTCACTGTTATTTGCCACTTCACCAGGTAAAGATTTGGTAGACGCCGTCTGTTCTTTTGGTGCTGTTTGGCTGGAAGAGTGAGGGATATGAGATGGGGAAGTGTCTCGAGTTTTGAGGTTTACTTGGGTGGGTCTAAGGTGAATTCTATTTCGTCGATATGAGCTTCTATCTGGTCTTTTGACTTCATAGCTGTTTAGGCCTAGTATGTTGGAGACTTCACCAAATTTCCAATCTCTTCCCTCCAAATGTTGGAAGAATATGTGCTGTCCTACGTCCAGTTCAGGGAGACTCTTTGCTTTCCTGTCATGGCTTTTCTTGACGGTGTCTTTGCACGCTTGACGCCTCACCTCAATGGGATCATTGCTCGAATGCTTGTTGAATGAGGGTATGAGTGAGCACGTCTTACGTTTGAACATGAGTTCAGCAGGGCTAAGATCCAATAGAGCTTCAAGTGGATCACTACCTTCTTTGTGAGTCTTGATCAGCAGTTTCTTCATAGATTTCACGGCTGCTTCAGCTTTTCCCTTTGCCTGCTGGTGCATGGGTGATGATGTCACGTGGATGATATGCCAGGCTTTAGTAGACAAATCGAATTCAGAGCTGGAGAACTGTGGGCCACCGTGCGATACAATCATTCTGGGTATTCCTTATCGAGCGAACTGACTCTTGAGTAGGTTAATTACACGAGTGCTTGTTTGAGTACTGAGGAAAAATCAACCTCGATAAATGTAGAATAGTAATCAACAGTTACTAGGTAGTACTTATCCGCATTTTGGAAAATGTCAAGTCCAATCTTTTGCCAGGGTTCGTCACCCTCCTTGTGTTGCTTGAGAGGCTCATGTTGATTCTTTGGCTTCATTTCTTGGCAGGCTTCACATGAGTAAGCCAATTGCTTTATGTCGCTCACCATTCCGGGCCAGAATACAGAACTTCGTGCTCGTCGGAGCATACTGTCAGCATTGAGGTGAGAGCTATGTACCCTCTTCTTTATTCTTGACCTCAAAGATTGAGGGATGACTATTACTTCGTCTTTAAGGAGTACGCCATCAGCTGCAGATAGAGTGTCACGGATGTCAAAATAGGGCAATGCTGAGGGAGGAATGAAGCGTTTTCCATCTGGCCATCCATTCATCACTAGTTCCATTACATCTTGTAGACCATTGTCTTTCTTCGTTGCTTCCTGTATATCTTCCAGGTGAGCATCAGGAATGTTACCGAGTATGTTGACGTTCATGATTCTGGCACGGTTGTCGTGATTGTGACCATTGGAGTTGAGGTGAGCTCTGATTAATGTGTCAGCTAGATGAAGTTCAGATCTCTTCACAAACGCAAATTTGACATCATAGCGATTGTAGCGCATCATCAAGTCTTGAAGGCGTTTAGGGGCTGTGCTCAGAGGTTTGCGGAGTATTGCTGACAGGGGTTTGTGGTCATTCTCTACCGTCACTGCCCGACCATAAGTGTACTGATCGAAACTGGCACGGTTGTCGTGATTGTGACCATTGGAGTTGAGGTGAGCTCTGCTTAATGTGTCAGCTAGATGAAGTTCAGATCCCTTCACAAACACAAAGTTGACATCATAGCGATTGTAGCGCATCATCAAGTCTTGAAGGCGTTTAGGGGCTGTGCTCAGAGGTTTGCGGAGTATTGCTGACAGGGGTTTGTGGTCATTCTCTACTGTCACTGCCCGACCATAAGTGTACTGATCGAAACGCTCTAGTCCGTACAGCACGGCTAAAGCTTCCTTCTCAATCTGAGCCCAGTTCCTCTCCGATATCGTCAGTGCACGTGAAGCATACTCAATAGGACGTCCGTCTTGAAGAAGTACTGCACCTATGCCATGCTGGCTGCTGTCGACTTGGATTACAATTTCCTTCGAAGGATCAAAATAAGCCAAGCTTGCAGATTCAGACAGCTTTTCCTTGAGAGTGCCGAATGCTTCTTCGCATTCTTTGGACCATGCAAATGAGGCATTTTTGCGAGTTAACTTTCTCAGTGGTTGAAGCGTACCTGCAAGATTTGGAATGAGTCTGGATACGTATTGAGCCGTGCCACAAAGACGTCTTACGCCTTCTACGTCAGTGGAAGCTGGCATATCAACTATGGCCTTAACTTTAGATTTGTCCATTTCTATGTCATTGCTAGTGATCTTGTGACCGTGGAACGTAATATCTTTGAGTCCAGTTTCTTGCTTATCTTCATTGAGTGTAATGTTCCTTTCTTTACATCTTTGTATACACTTCTAGAGATTTTGGTAGTTGTCAGCGATTGCTTCTGATTCAGTTGCACCACAACCAACGATGATAATGTCACCAACAATATCGAAGACACCACTCAAGTCTTCCAGGGCTTCATCAATTTTCCGTTGAAAGATTTCACTTGATACTTTTAGACCAAACGGTAATCTCTTCCATCGATATCTACCAAATGGGGTTATCATTGTAATGAGTTTACTTAATTGTTCATCAAGTCCAACCCGCCAATAAGCCTCTTTGACGTCAAGTTTGCTGAAGACTTTGGCGTTCTTGAGCTTAGGGAGTACGTCATCCAACACAGGTAGTCGGTATTGCTCACGTTGAAGTGCACTGTTCAGAGGTTGAGGATCTTTGCAGATCCAGAGTTTACCGTTGTTTTCGTACACGATAGCCATTTGACTGACCCATTCAGTCGGTTCAGTAACTGGTTCCAATACGCCTTTGCTTACCAGCCGATCCAGTTCCTGTTTGACATCATTTTCAATGGCTAATGGCTCTTTACGACATGGGAGTACTTTGGGGGTAAAGACTCATTCACACTCAGAGATGCCACTCCCAGGTCGCCCAGTGGAGGAGTAGACACCTTTGAAATGAAGGTATTACAGTTGATGGTGATAAAGCCAATTTCCTGTATAGTATTCAGGCCAAGAAGATTAGTAAAGCGGTTAGGAGCTACAATGAATTTGACTTCATGTTGACTGCTGTCACTTGGATTAGTGGTAGTTAAAGAGATTTCACCAAGAGGTTTGAGATTGGTCTTGTTCCACATGTTGAGACAAATGTTTGGTGGAGATACTTGCTGCCTTCAGACATGTTTTTGGCAAAATTTTAGTTACGTCATCAGCACTGTCCAGTTGGAATTTCACGATATGGTCTTTGATGGAGAGATTTGCTGTGACTCCAGTTTCCTCATCATCAATGGCGAGAAGCCATTTGTCATCAAAGTCATTATTTTGCATGTACTTTATTCGAACATTTGGATTTGAAATTGTTCAGGCCTTTGCAAGTATCGCATGTCTTACCCTAAGCTGGGCATTTTTCTCGTTTTCGTTCATGTTTGTATCCACAATCTTTACAATCAAACTGTAAATTGTCATTACCTGCCTTCGACATGCTGCTCTTGTTAGATCTGGTTCTCCTGTTTTGCAGTTTTGGGTTCGATTTCTTGGAGACTTTGTTCAGATTAGATTGAGTTGAATGTGAGGCGCTTCCGATGTTGTTTTTAAGCTCTTTTACTTGTTTATTTGATTGCTCGAATGATCTGCATATTTTTAGGGTTTTGTCGAGTGTGAGGTTGTCTTCTCTCAATAGAAGCTCTTTTATTTTTCCAGTCACTGTGAAGACGATTTTGTCTCTCAGCATCCTATCATTTTCAAGAAAGTTGCATGCGGTGATTCTTGTTTGTAGCTCAGTGAAGAATTTGTCGAAGGGCTCTTCATACTCGATGTTCTACAACCGATGTGATTCCATCACCTCGTTGTCTCGTGGGTTGCAGTATTTTTTGAGTGCTTCCAAGATTTTTTCGGGGTCATCTTTATCTCCTTCCTCGTTCCACGTGAAATTATCGTATACTTCGAGGACATAATTTCCAGCACAATTCAAGATGATTGCTGTTTGGATTTGTTTTTCCTTCGCCGTCGCTCCAGAAGCGGCTAAATACACTTCGACTTCTCGTCGCCATCGTTTGAAGTTTTCTGAGATATTTCCAGTATTTATGTCGAGTTGGGGCGGTAGACGAAAACTCCTTGTCGCCATGATTGAATTTTACAATCCCGTAGCTGCCATCATGTTGATTTGTAGCGTTGAATAAAAGACAAGACAGTGCTAAGCGGCGAACAAAGAGCACTAGAATTCTAGAACACAAGATGCCATATCTCTTTCACCTCGTGGTCTCTCGTTACATAAGATAATTTATTCTGACAACCAGATGAGATAGCCAATCAACAGGTAACCCTGAGTAACCAGATAACCCTTGTATTCGGTTATTCTTTTGACAAGAAAAGCTTGTTCGGAGAAATTTCTTTGTAACCTCGTCGCCACACTATAACGGATAGCTTTGAAAACGTGTTTAGGATGAGCACTTGACGGTGGGAGATGCAGGTGACTATCAGTTGGCTTTCAGTAAACGTCTTTCCTAATAAAACCCTCGATAAGATGTAGAGTTAAATCTAGCACATCGAGCTCTCGTTCGGAAAAAACTAATTCGAATTTTATAGTGGGATACAAAGAGTTTATAAATTCAGTAAACTCATGCAGTGCCGGAAGGCCTTGTTGCCAGAGATCAAAAACATCATCACGGTATCGCCACCACAAAGCCGGCTTTATGTGGCCAGAGAACTTAGCCTGAAAATCTATTTCACCCATGGCAAGATCTGCATAACTGCAGGCGTTCTTAGGGCCCATGGCTGTGCCATGAACCTGTAGAAAGAAGTTTTCTCTGAAAACCGAATGATTGCTCTTCAAACAAATTTTAACCGCTTCTAAAATGCAATTAGTGGATGGAAGCTTATTTTCTCTGGCATTCAGTGCCCTCTTCACTGCGGTAAGACCGAGTTGATTATCAATGTTAGGAAACATTGAGACAACATCCCATGAAACCAATAGAGTGCCTTCGGG